AAAAAAAAACCCAAAAAAACAACAACAACCCAACAACAACAATAATGAAAAATAAAAAAAATAGATCGAAACCCCTAAAACAAAACAAAAAACAATACAAAAAAATCACTCTGTACCCGCCCCCAATGGTAAGTAAAGTAAGTCACAAAAATAGTTCTCAATCTCATGGAAAGTCAACTTTTTTTTTAAAAACCAGCACACGCACGCAGGTCAAAGCTGCATGGGCAGGTTCCTCACTGTGAGTAGTGTGAGTCGTGAGAGTAGAGTGCTGAGGTCGGAGCTGTTGGGCCTTTGGGCACACACCTAAAAGCCCAGCACCACTATCATCAATCATGATGAAGATATCTGAAAATAAAACGATGACCGAATTATATTGGCCGTGTAGAAAATCGTCAAGTAGCGGTACAGATTCTGTGTCAAGGCGAGAAGCCAACTCTAATAGCACGATGGAAGACGCCACTGTACTGGAGAAGGGTAGAGAGAATATCTGTTGATACCGTTCCGGTTTTTTTTCAAGGTATTGCTTTAATGTAGGATCGATTTAATCATCACTATCATCATTATTACAATATACCAGTAGGGTATGAACGGGTTCAAAAGAATCGATCGTCAAGTCATTGTGGAACCAGTGCGCACTGCTTGTGAACGGAAGCGTCATGTGTTTACAATGTCGTCTTAGAAGACGGACTTTCCCAAGATTAGATCTAAACAATTTTTTTTAAAACCCTGAAAATTAAACTAAAGTGCAGATTTGCTTCGTTTCTCAGTGGAATAATCACAAACGCCAAAGAAGGACGGGAACTTTTTGTCAAATGTATATTTTTCTAAATTCAAGAAAAGAATAAATAATTTTAAAAAACGGGCTCTGTCATGGGGACCTATCTATCTTTTTGCAGGTACTTGCCGACTTTCAAATCTGTAGCTGTCGTAGTTTTATGAGAAAAGTGACATGTGTTTCCAAGTTGCCAAATATATATAATATATTACAGTACATTGCTTCACTACTGTAACATCATTATCACCATCAACCACCAACAGTACTAAAACAACAATACCCATACCGCACACATAATATATCTCTACAAATTTCGAGCTGTATTTTAAAATACGGAGGTCATAACCCAGTGTTTGATATATTATAATAGATTACAGTACAATGCTTCACTGCTGTAACATTACCACCATCAACCACCAACAGTACTAAAACAACAATACCCATACCGCACACACAATACATCTCTACAAATTCCGAGTTATATTTTATAAGACGGAGGTCATAACCCAGTGTTTGATCCCCGTTCCTTCCTCATTGCCGGAGACATCGAACCTAACCCAAGCCCACGCCACACACCATAATAAGTACTTGTGCAACAATGTATGTAACATCTGAGGCCGAAAAGAAAGACTGCTACCAATTAAAGAGGTTATAAATAGAACTCCTCTTTGGCCTAAAGACAGACATTAAGTGGAGAATCCTAGTTTGGACTGCTACAAAACCCGGTCACTGTACAGCATTGTTGAGTACTGTCGACTACAATGAGGCATGCCATCGGGTCTGCAGCAATATTGGAAAATGAACTGGTTATGCTGAGGCAAACGTCGCCATCCCCTGTTGTAACTCCCACAATGGTGTCTCTCGTAGGAGTGCGAGAGTTGCAATATAATATATAATGCGTAGAAGCAGTGCTGGTCGATTCCACTGACAGAATCCGGCTGCTCTATTGCACGCCACAAAGACATCTAGTGCAGAAGCTTTGGGAGACGTGGACCGGACCAAAATTGGAACATCGGAGAGAGACGTTGTGTGTGTGTG